TGGGCCTGTGACTTAAGCAAAACAACAAAACAAACCAAGAAATGTGAAACACACATGTCTGTTCTTGCACGAGGGCTCAGGCACTTCTACACCGCTGAAGCAGGCGGATACTGTAAGTGGCATCCACTCCGCCTGTGCTGGGGACAGCAGAAAGGGCCCTCCAAGCCAGACTTGGCTCTCGTGAACCCTTCACTACTGGGGCCTCCCCCTAAACACAGCCTCAGTCCCACTTAACAGCTTTGGCTTATGCTGCTGTCTTGGCTATGTTTCCCTCCACTTAATAAATCCTATCCATATATTCAGGCCCAGTTTAAGCCCCACCACTCCTTGATCTCTGGACTCCTCCTCCAAATGACAGCATGGTCTGTTTTCCAGATACAATTCAGAGCTAGATTCAGTGTTTGTTTTGCCAGTTATTTTTGCTTCCTTTAGGAAACTTCTTGAAAATGAGAATCTCCTTCCCTAGCAGGGACTGAGTGCAGATACATGCTCCTTTAACATGGATTGATTGGATTAAAGGCTTGGGGATGGGAGGATTTTTTTTTTTTTTTTTTTGCCTTTTTAAAAATTGCGAAATACAAAATGCAGTCAGACAAGTACATAAAACAGCAATGTCTGGCTTAATGAGTATTACGAGGCAAATATCCTTTAACCACCATCCAGATCAAGAGAACATTGCCAGCATCCCGGAAGCCTCTCCATATGACCTTTGGGAAGCAGACATTTCCAAACTGGTGATTGTATATTCGTGGGCGTGGGAAAGGTCTTTATTTCATTTTTAGAAATGGGTCTCACCATTATGCTGAGGCTGACATCAAATTCTTGGGCTCAAGCAATCCTCCCACCTCAGCCTCCCAAAGCGCTGGGATTATGGCCATGGGCTACCTTGCCTGGCCCGGGAAGGATCTTTAGAGGAAGTGTGAGCTGGGAAATCTCTTCTCGGGCCCATGCCTGCACGAGCGTGTGAGCATCTTGGGGAAGTGCCAAATCCACAGCATCATGAGATGGAGGAGGCAACCGCAGGGAGTGCTTGGTGGGCAAAATGTGTCTGTCAACCTGGAGCCCTGCTCAGACCCTGAAGCAACTGCTCTTCATTCCAGCTAGGATTTGTAAGCAAATCTGAGGTCAGATGTGTCTGGGTTGTGCTTCCTACCCCTAGGCAAAAGGGAAGCAGGACCAAACGTGGGCCTCCAGACACTTAGAGATTGCAGACTGAGGAAGGAGGAGAAGGGGCTTTCCAGAGCTGGGAGCACAGGGCAACTTACAGGGCCCAGGAAGTGGGTGAGAAAATGTAGAGGAGTAATGACTCCTTTGGGGGATTTTAAATATTGAGTATATGGGAAGTGGGGCATCCCCTCTTCTGTCTTTCTTTCTTTTATTATTTATTTATTTATTTTTGAGACAGAGTCTCACTCTGTTGCCCAGACTGGAGTGCAGTGGTGCGATCTTGGCTCACTGCAACCTCCGCCTCCTGGGTTCAAGCGATTCTCCTGCCTCAGCCTCCCAAGTATCTGGGACTACAGGTGCGTACCACCACGCCTGGCTAATTTTTTGTATTTTTAGTAGAGGCGGAGTTTCACCGTGCTAGCCAGGATGATTCGATCTCCTGACCTCGTGATCCATCCGCCTTGGCCTCCCCAAGTGCTGGGATTACAGGTGTGAGCCACTGTGCCCAGCCCTGTCTTTCAAAAAGTATTTTTTGGCTGAGTGAGGTGGCTCATGCCTGTAATTCCAACACTTTGGGAGGCAGAGGTAGAGGACTGCTTGAGCTCAGGAGTTCAAGACCAGCCTGGGCATCATAATGGGACCCCATCTCTACAATTGTGCTTTTTTTAAAATTAGCCAGGAATGATGGTGTGCGCCTAGCTACTTGGGAAGCTGTCCTAGCTACTTGGGAGGCTGAAGTGGGAGGATTGCTTGAGAGGTCGAGGCTGCAGTGAGCTGGGATTGTGCCTACTGCACTCCAACCTGGGCAACAGAGTGAGATCCTGTCTCAAAAAAAAAAAGTACTTACTGAATACCTACTATGTGTCAAGCACTGGGCAGACACCAGAGATAGAGCAGAGAACACAACAGACACTAGCTCTGCCTCCCAAGCCCATGAGGAATGGGGGAGAGGAACCGTGGGCAGGTAATCACACTAAAGTAGGGTGTTTAGGAACTGACACTTCCAAGAAAGCCGAGAATGAAGGAATCCCATCCCTAAGCCTTCCTTCCAAGCTCATCATGGGCTCTTTTATAATATATTGGGTTTTTTTTTTCTTTACTTCTGCTAAAAACAAAAACAAAAACAGGGCCAGGCACAGAGGCTCATGCCTATAATCCTAGCACTTTGGGAGGCCGAGGCAGGCAGATCAGGAGTGACCTCAGATTTGAGGTCAGGAGTTCAAGACCAGCCTGGCCATCATGGCAAAACCGCATCTCTACTAAAAATACAAAAATTAGCTGGGCGTGGTGGTGGGCGGCTGTAGTCCCAGCTACTTAGGAGGCTGAGGTAGGAGAATGGCTTGAACTCGGGAAGCGGAGGTTGCAGTGCACCAAGATTGCACCATTGCACTCCAGCCTGGGTGACAGACCGAGACACTAACTCAAAAAAATAAATAAATAAATAAATAACAGGATAATGGCAGAACGTGCAGCTTTGTTACATAGGATATGTGTGCCATGGTGGTCTGCTGCACTTATTGACTCATCCTCTAAGTTTCCTCCCCTCGCCCCCAACCCCCAAAAGGCCCTGGTGTGTTATATTCCCCTCCCTGTGTCCATGTGTTCTCAATGTTCAACTCCTACTTATGAGTGAGAACATGCAGTGTTTGGTTTTCTATTCCTGCGTTACTTTGCTGAGGATGATGGCTTCCAGCTTCATCCATGTCCCTGCAAAGGACATGATCGCATTCCTTTTTATGGCTGCAGAGTATTCCATGGTGTGTATGTACTACATTTTCTTTATCCAATCTATCATTGATGGGCATTTGGGTTGGTTCCAAGTCTTTGCTTTATAAATAGTGCTGCAATAAACATACGTGTGCATGTGTCTTTATAGTAGAATGATTTATAATCTTTCGGGTATATACCCAGTAATTGGATTGCTGGGTCAAATGCTATTTCTGATTCTAGATCCTTGAGGAATTGCCACACTATCTTCTTACAATGGTTGAACTAATTGACATTCCCACCAACAGCGTAAAAGTGTTCCTATTTCTCTATGGCCTCACCAGCATCTATCATTTCCTGACTTTTTAATAATTGCTATTCTGACTGGCATGAGATGGTATCTCATTGTGGTTTTGATTTGCACTTCTTTGAAGATCAGTGATATTCAGCTTTTTTTCATATGTTCGTTGGCCACGTAAATGTCTTCTTTTGAGAAATGTCTGTTCATATCCTTTCCCCACTTTTTGATTTTTTTTTTTTTATTGTAAGTATGTTTAAGTTCCTCGTAAATTCTGGATATTAGGTATTTGTCAGATGAGTAGATTGCAAAAATTTTCTCCCATTCTGTAGGTTGCCTGTTCACTCTGATGATAGTTTCTTTCGCTGTGCAGAAGCTCTTTAGTTTAATTAGATCCCATTTGTGAATTTTGGCTTTTATTGCAATTGCTTTTGGCATTTTTGTCATGAAGTCTTTGCCCATTCCTATGTCCTAAATTGTATTGCCTAGGTTTCTTCTAGGGTTTTTATGGTTTGGGGTTTTACATTTAAGTCTTTAATCCATCTCAAGTTAATTTTTACATAAGGTGTAAGGAAGGGGTTCAGTTTCAGTTTTCTGCATATGGCTAGTCAGTTTTCCCAGTATCACTTACTGAATAGGAGATCCTTTCCCCATTGCTTTTGTCAGGTGTTTCAAAGATCAGATGGTTGTAGATGTGCGATGTTATTTCTGAGGTCTCTGCTCCATTGCTCTATATGTCTGTTTTGGTACCAGTACCATGCTGTTTTGGTTACTGTAGCCTTGTAGTATAGTTTGAAGTCAGGTAGTGTGATGCCTCCAGCTTGGTTGTTTTTGTTTAGGATTGTCTTGGCTATATGGGGTCTTCTTTGATTCCATATGAAATTTAAAATAGGTTTTTTTTTTTAAATTCTGTGAAGAATGTCAATGGTAGTTTAATGGGAATGCATTGAATCTATAAATTACTTTGGTCAGTATGGCTATTTTCATGATATTAGTTCTTCCTATCCATGAGGATGGAATGTTTTTCCTTTTGTTTGTGTCCTCTCTTATTTCCTTGAACAGTGGTTTGTAGTTCTCCTTGAAGAGAACCTTCACATCCCTTGTTAGCTGTGTTCCTAGGTATTTTATTCTCTTTGTAGTGATTGTGAATGGGAGTTCATTCATGATTTGGCTCTCTGCTTGCCTACTGTTGGTGTAAAGGAATACTTGCGATTTTTGCAGACTGATTTTGTATCCTGAGACTCTGCTGAAGTTGCTTATCAGTTCAAGAAGATTTTGGGCTGAGATGATGGAGTTTTGTAAATATAAAATCATGTCATCTGCAAACAGAAGCAACTTGACTTCCTCTCTTCCTATGTGAATACCCTTTATAATGTATAGTTGACCTGAAGATGTTTAAACAAGGTAGGGGATGGTTTGAGACCTTCCATGGGTAACAACAGAACACCAATAGGGAGGGAAGGAGATGAAGATAAATGAAAGAACATAAGCCAATTTAGGAAAACTCAGACAAGAAAATGAGGTTTCAGGGCACATCAACGTAGTACCTTAACTTGGAGGCAAGTCACCTGGCAAATGTAGAAAGTTGTATTATTTATTAAGGAGAATTTATCCAAATAAATAAAAATCAATCACATCTTTATGGAGACCCAACTTCAAGCAATGTCTTGTGGTTTCAGAGAGGGCCCTGGTTTAAAACAGCAGAAAAGTATCTGCCACTCAAAATGGGATGGGATAAGGGGCAGGAAAGGACACAGCCGGAGTGACTGCAGACTTCAGCTGAGGGAGCAGCCCTGTGGGCAAGGCGCCAGTCAGGGACGGAGTAGTAATGGTGGGTACTGAGAGATGGACTGTCATCATAAGCAGAAAGAAAGACATTCTGGATGGGGAGAACACTGCGGGCGAAGGCCTGCTGGTGGAAAAGGGTCTGAGGTCTGGGTGTGGAGAGCAGGTGGGTTTGGCAGTAGCCAAGAGACTTGCTGAGGACAATGTCTAGAAAGACACTGGGGTGCGGCTGGGGAAGGGTGGAAATGTCCGCCTGAGATTTGGGGCATTACGCAAAAGAGCCCGTCAAAGGCTTCTTAGCATGGCTGTACCTTCGCCAAACCTGGGCTCAGGAAGATCAGCCTGGGGTTAATGGCGGCAGGAGTCTTGGACTCTATGCCAAAAGCCAGAGGGAGCCTGTACACAG